CATCAAAAACACATGTTTGCAAGAATGTTCGCGTGTTCGGTGTACAAGAACCTGTGCAAGAACTTCTGGAACATAATCTGGGTGTGGCGTTTGCAAGATGCGCAAGAAATATATTTCCGCGAAAGCTTTTGTGCTAGCTTGAAACCAATGAAGCTGCCTCTACACTTACACATTTGCATACAAGTCTACCACTCAATCCTCAAGAAGACCTTGTGCCTCAGCCTCTCGCACAGCAGCAGCACCAGCGGAACGGGCAGCATCCTTCGCAGTTTCGAGGTCAGGCGCCTCCCTTGAGTTGTACATTTTTTTCCTTGTTGTAGGCCCTGCTGTGGACATTCTTCCGGAACATCAGCTTAGTGGGCGGTTCATCACCTCGTTCATCGCCATCATCAGCATGACCAACTGCTCCTTCACCAGGAACTTCATTAGGCTCATGAGAGTTGGTTGGAGGGAGAGAGGATGGTGGACGCTTGATGGCTGGCCTCTTCATGGGCCCTGCCTTCGACTTTGGCACTGCCTTCTTTGGGATGTGGCCCTCTGCTTCATAAAGCAACTTCTCATCTAGGTTCAACTTGCGCTTCACAGGTGATGGGGGTCCCAACTCAAGTCGGCTCATGCGAAAGGATGCCGAACTTCCGGTGAATCTGCCCTGAGGCTCTGTTTTCGATGCATCGGGGCTGAAGCCAACAGAATTGGACGAAGTTGGACCTTTTGTAGGTGTAGCTGGGGCAGCATGAGGTAAAGGCTGAAGCTGATTGCTGCTGATCTTCTCAAATTCAGAGATGTCAAAGTCCTGTGCATCCCGGAGAGGGAGGGCGAGATCACTGCGAGAACCACCACCGTCTGCCGCCGCCCTCAGTGGCATCTTCTTCACCATCACTGACCCCTCCATCATAATCCGTTGGAAGGATCAATCGCTCCAACACAAGTTTGATCTTGTTGGAATCCGGGCTACCAATCCTCCTCAGAACTTGATCTCTCTTAAGCAGGTCATACTTTAAAGATCGAAACATCCGCATAGCGATTCGAATCAGGAGGTCCGAGTTGTCAATGAAGGATTTGTTCTCTCGCTCGGTTGTGTTTCTGACTTCACCAAGGTCAAGAAGCTTTTGCAAAGCTTCCCTGATTTTTTCCCTGCAAGTTTAGAGTTTGGGGCAATGGCAGCCAAGTCGTAGCAAAGGTTCGCCATTTTCACCATGTACTCTGGGTCTGGTTGAGACTTCCAGGTGAGCTTCACAAATTTTCCTGGAGAGATCAAAGCATGCAGGTCACTAGTTTCTTTGTAGGTGAGGAAGTTTCTCAGCACGTTCTGAATGTCTCGGACTCCAGTGCTGCTGTCTGCGACCAATCGTGATTTGCCGGCACGTTCTTTCAGTTTTGTTTTGGCAGCATTGCTTTGCTGCTCCAAGGCAACATCTAGACTGGACATACTTGGTGCGGGGCACCAGACTAGACCAATACACTTGTGACTTGAACTTGAAACGCTTTCCAAGTTCCACACAAGTTGCAAGAACCTATATCAACTAAAAACATGCAATACCAAAAGCCTCAACAGCAAGACATGCATGCTGGACACTGCAATGCAAACTGCTACACAATGCCTTGAATGCTTTCGTTCTATGTCAACAAGACAAAACACGCAAGACCTGATGCCATCACAAATAGAGCTGAGATGCCATAACAAGTAGAGCTGCGCACATAGAAAGCAGCAAGAGCAGCCAGAACTTTTTGCTTGATGTTGTAGTCGTTTTGTGAAACTGTGAAACAAAAAGGTCGGGACCAAAAGATCCATCAAAAGCAAGCGTTTCACAGCTCGCAGTTGTAGGGCCTATAGCGCAAGAACACATAAAGCAAGAACGTTTCAGGCAAGAACGATGCTGCGACATGAAGTTGTTTTGTGTGATTGTTTCACTGCGTGGTCGTTCTTTTGCACCGCAAAAACAAAAGAAGCAAAGGAAAACACAGAAACCAAATAAACAAAGAAAACAATAAAGGAAAAGAAGACAGACACCAACAAAATAGTAAAGCAACCATAAAAAGAGAACATTATAGACACAAAAAGAAAGTGGAAGGAAGTGAGAAAGGAACAAAGGAAGAAAGGAGCAGCGACAGAAAGGAAAAGAAATGAAAAAAACACAAAGGAAGCGCAAGCAAAAGCAAGGAAGGAAGAAGAACGACGTAAGACGCGAAAAGGAAAAGGAAGAAAGGAGAAACGGCAGAAAGACAAAGAAAGAACAAGAGGAACGACATTGAAAAATGAAGAAAGGCAAGGGCAAGGAAGGAAAAAATGGTACAACAGCAAGAAAGGGTGCAAATTAACGGATAAGGATAAGCAAAAGGAAAGGATAAGGAAAACATAAAGGGAAAGGAACAGCAAAGGGAAAGGAAAGGAAAAGGACAAAAGGACAGAAAAAGGAAGGAATGAAAAAAGAAAGAAAAGCAAAGATAAGAAAATAAAGTAAAGAAAGGCGCGCAGACAGAAGGAAATAGACAAACAAAAACAATCAAACAAACACACAAAAGCACAAAACACATACGATCAGAAAAACCAGCAAGCCAACAAAACACAACAAACATCACCAAACAAATCAAAAAAAAGCAACCAAGAAAACACCCAAACACCACAAACACAACAACTCCCACAACAAAACAACACAACAAAAAAGCAACAAACAACTACAACACAAAAACCCAACTGTGCAAACTGCACTCTGAACTGTGCAATTTGCACTGTTCAAGTTTGAGCTCCAAAAACCAACTGTGCAATTTGCACTCTGGAGAGTGCAAATTGCACAGTTGTAGCCCGGACTAAATGATCATTTACTCTCGGAGAATTTAGTCGGGATCCGGTCTAAATGATCATTTACTCTTTAGTCCCCGGACTAAATCCTTAGCGGAGTAAATTTAGACTCATTTGATCTATCAGGTGACGGATCGTGACAGCCAGAAAGGGATGATCGGCTTTTGCTGATTGGGAAGGGGCCCGACGGCCCGGCTGCTCGAACAATCACACCTGCTGAAGCGGCGAAGTTGTTGCACGGCAGGAGCTCGCGATATCAGGAGGAAGACAGACGCACCGCATGCGGAGACCCCAAGATGTTACTTGACGCGACCCCCAGAAAGCTGGCTGATGCGGCAGTGCACTGGGCAGCTCAACAACTCCTGGGGGAAAATCTCCCCGACAAAGTGGGAGTCTGTCGACTCGCCTGGGAGGAAGAGACTGAAAGGGTCCTGATGAAGTGGCTCCAAGACAATCCCAAGCAGGGATCAGCCGGCCTTGTGGGGGGAAAACAGAAGAACAAGAACAAAGGTCTCCCTCTCCATGAGCAGGCAATGAAAGCCATGTGCTATGTGCTGATGCATGCGGCGGGCACCGAGGAGTGCCCCATCAGCGAAGAAGGTTGGGTGAAATGGCAACAACTCGCCGCGCATCAGTCCTGCAAAAGATTCCAAAACTGGGTGCTGCTGGAAGCACTCGACCAGGACAAAAAGGACCGACTCGTTGCGAAGCAAGACACTGATGGAGTCTGGTGGGTCGCGGCCTGGTCGGGCCACACGCAGGAGAGAGTTGTTGGCCCAGCCGCAGTGGTCCCAACCGAGGAACTCCCGGCCTTGCTGGCGCATGGCAGCTACCGACGTCACACTGCGTCCATTCAGAAGAAGGGGTTGGTGAGAGGCGACCGAGATGTCCACTTCCACGACCCCGAGGAACACGCAGAGCGGTGGCGGGTCGACCTCGAAACACGGATAGATATCGATGTCAAGAAAGCCGTTGACCTTGGATGCAAGTTCCGGAAGACCGGCAACAAGGTGTGGCTCTGTGATTCGACAGTACCGCCAGCCGCAATCATTAGGATCACCCCGTGGGACGGCTTACCTGAAGGCAGAAGCCTCGAGGACCGAGAAGATGAGCATGGCTCGGCAGCGAGCTCTGCCAAAGCACCGATGTCAAGCGCTGCGCTGCCCATCAGGCCCAAAGTGACAGGCAGATGGGGTCCCATGCCAGAAGAAGAGAAGAAACCCGTACCGAAGAGATCCTAGACGTCGCCAAAGGCCTCGGGAGCAACTTACCCGAGAACTTCGAAGATGGCCTTGCTGTGGACCTCGCGACCCGAGGCGCGTTTCGCCGGGGAAGCAGAGGGAGAAATGGAAGTTGATTGGGGGGGCACTGACTCTGAGGTGGAAATCGCCCAGGCCATCCCAGCAGGAGCGTCTATGCAGAACTTGTAGAACCTAAACAAGAGAAGACTGAAGGGCTGACCGAAGGGCTCAGCCCAAAGCCGAAACGACCGCAGCTCTTCCAAAGAGCGAAGAAGTGATACCCACGAAGGTTGAAGAGAGTGTCGACGTCCCCAGTGCAACAGAGACCCCAGGAGGAGCACCAGCAGCAGAGGGTGTGCCCAATGCGCCACCGCCCCCTGGAGACGCCAAGGGAATCGAATACCTTCCACCTAAGGATCTAGAAATGATCACCGAAGGAGACTTACCCAGGCCTCGAAGGCGAAAGGTCAAGTTCGGGGATGTGCACCTGCATCTTCTCAAAGCTGTGGCCGACGCCGACGCCGCCAACTGGGCATGTCTCCAAGAAGCTGTCCAGCAAGCCCCAGCAGCCTCTCAGGTTAAGTCGGAGTTCGCGGAGCGTCTCAACCAGTTCGCCCGAGGCAAGACTCAAGAGTAAGACGGAGGCTGAAGCCAAAGCCGAAGAGCGAGCCCAAAGGGTCAAGCACTACACTGAGGCAGAAACCGACTACCGGGCAGGCCTCAACGATCAGATGTTACGACTTGAGCTCGCGAACCCCGTCGGTCCAAGGACTGGGGTTCCGCTTGTTTCTGATCACCGACTGAAGCAAGAGATTGAGGCGGGGAGATCCGTCTGGGTTGCCAGAAGAGCCCAAAGGGCACGAGAAAGAGCGGCTCAGCGCCGACAGGAGGTCGACGCCTGGAGTCGAGCAGAGAAGGGACCAGGAACAGGACCCTTGTTGGATGTTGATCTTGCAGAAGCCGGTAAGGTGTTGGACAAAGCGCTTCATGATGCAGCCCAAAGAAGCAGCGGAAGCGCGAGGGACAAGGGCATACCAAAGACGACGCTGAGCGTGACCGCAATCACGTCATCGCGCACCAGACTGCCGAGGGGAGCTCCTTGGCCGGAGGTCTTTCCGCCCCGAACCTCAGCAATTTTGACCAAGGACTGAAGAGGAGTCCTGGAGACGCCCTTGAAGCCGAGTGGGATCTCGATCAGGCTTCAGGAATGATTTTTGCGCCCTTGAAGCTGAGTGGGATCTCGATCAGGCTTCAGGAATGATTTTTGACAGCCTACTGCTGGCATTTATACTAGCCATGGCTTTGGCCATCAGAAGACTCCTTTCCAAATGGGGGTCAAACCACCCAGGAGGATCGGCAAAGGTCTATTTGGAGGCCACCAAAGTCGGCGGAACCAGAAAGAAAGTGAGATTCAGCCCCCCCAAGAAAGGTAGAAGAGTCGTGCAAGAACCCAACATGCGTTTCCTGGGTGGACCAAGGGCTGCTGCCAGAAGGCACCCCGCGGGAAAGAGCTTTAGGTTTGCTCAAGTTCAAGGACGGCACGAATTCGACCAAGAAGGATTCTCACTGTTACTTTCGAGGTACTCGCAGAGCACAGCCGCCAGCTACCAGTCGCAATGGGGCTGGTGGTCACTCTTCTGCAAACGAAGGGGTAAAGACCCAGTCAGATATGTTCCGGCCTATAGCCGTCAAGAGGAACAACTGGTCATCGACTTCCTGGTCCACTGTGCCTCCAATGAAGCCAAAGCACCGGGCACCATCAAACTGCGACTTTCCGCCATACGCAGCATGCACTTGACGTTGGGATACCCAGATCTCTTGATGCACACGCCAAGGATCCCGCTTGCCCTGGCCGGGTTGCGACCCCGTGACTCCAGACATGTTGAAATGGCCTGGGGAACATCTGCAGTATGGAAGGGCCGAGGAAGCTAGCCTCCTTTGGGGCGCCCTCACCTTGGGATTTTTCTTCCTACTTCGGGCTTCGGAATACCTTGATGTCGGGTACCAAGATCCCAGAAGAGGCCTGCGTGGGTCCGACGTCACCTTGAAGCTCAATGGCAACGCCGTGGCGCTGAACCGGATCAGCGAAGTTGACGAAGTCACCCTTCTGGTGCGAGGATCCAAGACAGACATCTACAATCGGAGACAGGTCAGAAACCACTTTCGCACTGCGGAAAAGGTGTGTGTTGTGAAATCCGTCAGGGCAGCCAAAGGTCTGGGACTCCCGGAAGGGGACCTGGGCGCTCACTCGCTGAGGTTCGGTGGGGCAAGTGCCCTGTGGGCACAGTACCAAGACACCTCCCTAGTGAAGCGCTGGGGACGATGGGCTTCAGACAGCTTCCAAACCTACATATGGGAGGCGCGAGAGACTGCCAAAGGCGTAGCACAGAAAATGATCACGGCAGACCTCACTCCAAACTGACCCTCTCAATAAGGATCCGTGATGCGTTTCGCGTCCGGATTCCTGAGGGGGGGAAGGAAGCCCAAGATGGGCAAAGGGAACGGCGTAAGGACGCCTGAGTTTGAGCCATCGCGCGCAAAAAGGGTGTTGCGCGCTGGTGACAGTTTAGGAAAAGGAAACTTGTTGTGTTCAACGCAGTGTGCGCGGGGTTTTCTTGTAACAAAACTGTTTCACCTGTAGCGGCTCAAGGTTTGCTGTTAGGGTACCCACCTGTTAAATTTCTTTATTTTTGTGGGGAAAGGTGGTGGCCTGTACATAAGCTATGGGTCAAGTGTATTACATACTTTACAGCTCCTGTCTTGGTTTCGATTGAGCAGTGCATTTCAGTTGTACATTCACATGCTTCACACTCATGGCTAGGCTGGCTCAGGGGCAACCCAGTGGCAGGGGTGAGCAGGGGTTATGCTCATCTCTGCTGTGGCAAAGGCTGCAAGTGCACAAGAGAACTAGCAACATCAGCAATAACAGCAACCTAGGTGAGCCAAACAGAAATAATAATCAACATGTCTTCTGAGAGATGTCCAAACATGTAAATAGTAAGAGCCAGTCGTTGCTGTCGCCATCACCGATGATGGATGGATGATGGGCAAATGAAGGATGGCTGAGGCTGTGCAAAGGGAAAGCACAGTGGAGACTATCCTGGAGGATGCCTATGATAATCTTTGGCTGTGCTGTGGTTTGGTGGTGCGACATGGCAACGATGATCAGGCGACCTGCCATTGCAATCATTAGTTACCCCTGCTATGCGGATGAAACATTCCCTTCCCTTACTATCTCTTAAACTGTCCAAAGATGATTTCACTCTGAAATGTGGGCGCTGGAAATTGGAAAAAATCGTTCATTGTTCATTGCAGTTGAAGCGTGACTCTCTTTCAAGAGGTGAAAGCATTTCGCTCTGCCATGCGTGGGCTGGAAAATGTGCTGGCACCTTGTCAATGCTCAGTGCTAATCAGCTTGAGTCAGCAGTCAGATGTGTTAATGCTTTAAGTATTTTTTTGTGACTGTCATGCAAATCATAGTCTCAGGAACGCTTGGACAAACCCAAGAAGAGATTTATAGGGACTGTGAGAATCACTGCTGGCCGTCCTGCCTTCTCTTTGCACCAGTTGCTGGATTTCATGAAAGTGCACCTTGTTTGTATATCGTGTGACAAGTCACCACAAGTCCACAAGGAACTTGACCAAGACCATGAAACATGTTATTTTTTGCAGTCTGGGCTTAGTGTGGAGAGTTGATAAACTCGAGGCGAACCCAGATTCGGAATGGTGCAAACTTTTCAGAAGCAGTACGCAGAGCTATGACATTGGTCTTTGGCGAGAACTTCACTGCTATTCAAGCTGACAGCGAGACCCTGGTTGCCAAATCTACATTGTGCAGGGCTACTTACAAGTTGGATTTAGCTCATATGATCCTGCGCCAGCAGCAATGGGCATCTCGGAGAGAAGCAAATCAATCATATGCTATCCAACTCAGAAGCTTGCCTGCGTGGAAAATGTAAAAGCATTTTAGTAGCGTGCCTGCGTTAGCATTGTTAGCATGCATGGCATAGACTAGACTATAGATTATAGATGAGTTGCGGAATGAGTGTTGCGTAAACTAAACAGTTTGCAGTTCACTGCGTCACTGCGCCCAGACTTTGATTCATCTCCGCTGAAATTGGACTATTTCTTTGCCGGGAAATCTCTTTTAGGCACCTCGGCTTGGCTTTATAACATTGAGTTGAATCAACTTGAATTCTGTAGTTTTGTCAAATCCAGTGCAGTGCATGTGCCAATTGGCCACCTGCCAGCCATTTGTACTTGGCTTTGCCAGCGCATTTGTGCCTAATGCACGAGGGCAATTACATGCATCGACTTCGACAGCAGCCTCCTCCTCCCAATGCTGTGCGGGCTGTCAGAGTGCAATCACGATCCAGAAGCCCTGCTAACTTGGAAATGGAAGATGATGATGGGGAATGGCAAAGCATTGGCAGCCAGGGTGAAATTCAACCTCAGACTCCTCCGCCATGGCCGCCAGAAGGTGACGTGGCAATGGAAGATGACCAGCCAATGATGGTGGTGCAACAGCCCATCACCCCTCCCAGATTGCTGATGGCGCCAGGAAGTGGTTTGAACGCTTCACAATTTACAAGACGACTAGGACTAGATCGACCTGGATTCAATCAACCTGCCACACCTC